CTGACCTCACCGTCCTCTGCGGGAGCATCCTGTGGCTGTGCCAGGTCAGTTGTAAAGACCCACATTGAAAACACTGATGCTGCTCTGCTCCACACTCTGTGATGACAAAACCCTGTCACACCACCATGGCTCTACACATAAAAGTAGTCAATATGTATCTCAAAAAAGTGGGTATTCTCTGTTATGTGTTGAGGCTTCCTTTATAAAGGCAGCCACAGCAAGGTAGATAATGTGTGAAAAAAACCTTCACAAAGCTGAAAGCTCCCAACTTCTTATGTTTCCGGGATAATAATCTGGTTTCAGAATCATTACCCTTTGAGAAATTAATATCAGTTACCTGAATCCTCTATGCTTCTCATGTTAACTAAACATATTTAAACAATGAATAACTACCTTGAATGCTTTATCTCAAACTGAGGCGTGCCGTGAAGTGGAGCTGGTAAGATCCAATTTGTCTTTTGTTTGCAATCCTATTCTTAAGGTCCCAGTGCACCTGGTCAGCGTAAGCTGATGCTGAAGAGGGGCGGGCACCTCATATTTTATGTGATTATGTCTGATCCTGGGACACTTAATAACATGCCAAGTTTCTGTGGAGTTTTCATTACAATGCTTGTTCTTCAGTTCTGTGTGGGAAAACAGACTTAGAAAAATAATATGTTGAATCACAGTAAAGAAAAATCTCAAATGTGTTGAAGGAGATAGAATTAAATAGGGACGTATTTAACAACACTGGTTAAAAAGCCCATTTTCTGTATCAGTGAGGACATCATAAATCTCATGGATAGAGTAAATAAAAACAATCACCACTTTAAAAATGCTTCTAATAGCCAATGGGACAGGAACATCAGGGAATGGGAAACCACTGCTACTCCTGCTCTGGAGTGAGTCTGTTAAGGAAGAGACGCAGGCCAAGCTCTCGGCACTTCAGGTTGCCCTGAACACTTCCCTGACTGGACAAACCAGCTGTCCAGCACATGGCAGGTGTCAGGGACTAGCCTTTGCTGCAGCTTTAGAGAGGCTGAGGCCTCGAGCCCTGTGGGGAACGTGGTTGGCCTCTTTCACTCTGTCTTTGGGTCCAAAGCCCTTCCCCATCCTCAGGGCCATGCTTTGCAGGTCAGCGCCGGGGGAGCCCAGGTCATGTGCAGGCCCTGGGCAGTATGGCCTGATTTTAACCACCAGCACCAGGCTGCTCCCTCTCTCCCTGATGGAACATTTTTAGATGGATTCCTGGAACTAATGTTTTCTTTACCCAGCCCATGAAATAAAACCCTAAAATGCCAAAAATAAATAAATAACCAAGCCTCTTAACATCCCCGTGTGCAGCTTGTCTGGAGCTGAGTGAGTTCAGCTCTGCCTCTTGTTGGCTTGTTTGGCCTCTGTGCTTCCCTCCTGCCTGGCGCTCTGTCTGCTGCTTTTCTCTGTTTCCCAGCTCCACTCTAGTTTTCATTCTCAACTTCCCAACACTTTCGTGGAAACCTGGAATTCTGCTAGTCTCCCCTCACCCACATCTTCCAGGTCCTTCTTAGAGCTTTCCTGTGGCCAGTGCCAGGGGTTTTTAAACATTGTGTGTGACCTTTCTGTAAAACATTAATCATACATTTTACGTCTCATTGAACTTTCACAATGTGAAGCGTCCTTACAACGAGCATCCAGAACAAGAAACAGACCGTTTATTAAAGCCCAAATCCTCCTCCGTCCTCAGACGCCTCACCATAACCCCTGCGTAAGGGCGACCACTTTCTTTATTGCTAATACTGTAGATTAATTTTAGGTGACTTTAAACTTTGCATAACTGAGTCCCACATCATGGACTTATTTGCATGGTGATTCTCTTGCTTAGTATCACGTCTGCGATGTCTGTTCCAGCTGTTACATGCAGCGCAGTAGGTGTCTCCTCATAGCTGCATGCTGTAGGCTCTATTAAATCAGATTTATTTATTTACCCTGCTGTTGATGGACATTTAGTATGTCAGGTAAAACAAGCACCCTCAGTCCTTGCTGTTTGTACACTCAGGCCGCTTGTTTCACACGGTACGTGGCTTCCAGTGGGTCTTCTTGCAAGCAGAGTTAAACTGACGCCATCAGACATCACATGGGCTCGTGGTGACTTGGTGAGGCAGTGATTATCAATTATATTGGTAATCGCAATGTTGGGATTCAATATTATTTAGCAGTTGGGCAAGCATCCTCATTTGATCAGTAAGAGACATTCACCCCTCTGGATACCTCACACATTGCCTAATCAGCCTCCATCTCATCCCACATCTGCAGCCCCGAGGTGGGAGGGACAAAGCTCACTTTCTATTTTCCTATCAATTATTTTTCAAAATAGAAGTAAATATAGTCTCCTATCTATGATTATTTTTTTAAGCCCAGCATGGCTTCTACACCAGGTTGATCCCTGATGTATTTCTCAAAAGAAAACAAACCCCCCAAAAAGAAAAATTATGAATGAAGGAAGATTTTTCAATGAAAAGTGGACAGACGATCACTTTTTTGAGGCAAATAGTAAGGCATTCTGATTAATTTATAGGGAAACTGTGCAGTTTTTCAAAACCTATACCTTGAGAAGCCATCGTATGAAAGTGTGCTGCCCAATGTGATGTATATGAAGGACTGTGTTGTCAGGATAGAATAGTAGAACCGAAAAGACATCTGTCTTCTCAATTAAAAAAAATGTAAAAGTCACAACTGAAATGATTCCTTTGTAAAAGCTGGTTATGTGGTAGCATACTTCACGGTAAAAAAATCAAAACCCTTTACTACAGTGAGTTTTATTAAAAAATATGGAAACCATAGCAAATATAATGTGCCCCCCATAAAAGGGGGGACATTTGTAAAATCAGTTTGTCTCACCAGACAATAGAAAGGCAAATTGACAAAACTGAAAAGTACGTTGAAAGAAATTTGTAAAGCTTGTAATTTAAAATTGTATGCTTAATGGGGTAGTGCCTGTGGCTCAAGGAGTAGGGCACCAGCCCCATATACTGGAGGTAGTGGGTTCAAACCTGGCCCCGGCCCAAATCTGCAAAATAAATAAATAAATAAAATTTTATGCTTAAATGATGGATGACAACTCTGATGCTACAAATATGGCTCAGCTTGCCATTTTTATTAGAGGTTTGATGATTAATATAATGTCACTGAAGATATGCCTTCTTTATGCCATTAAAGGGCACAATTAAATCGAGATTTATACAAAGCAGTAAAAATATTTTTGACTGACCTTTATCCATTGTCAACATATCTGGTATAGTTATTGTTGGTGCCCAGGCAATGGTAGGTAAAAGAAAGGACAGTATAAAATTAGTAGAAGATGATGTGATTTCTGATGCAGTAACATTGCACAGTACAACAAGAAAATTTATGCACAAAAGCTTTAACAATGGATAATGTCATGAAAATTGTCATCAAGACTGTGAATTTCATAAGGGCCAAGGGACTGAATCACCACCAATTCCAGGAATTCCTTAAAAGCACTCATGCTGCCTGTGCGGATGTCATTTACTTCTCAGAAGTAAGACAGCTAAGTCAAGGCCCACGTGGAAAAGGTTTTATGACTTGCAGCATCACATAGCACCAAGCTATTCGTGGTAGCAAAAACCAAATTTGTGCCAGAACTTGATGAAAACTGGTTTACAGATTTAGCATTTTTAGTGGATGTAACCATTCATTTAAATGAGTTAAACATGTGTTGTAAAGGTGAAAACCAACTTACCAATACAATGTTTCAAACCATAGCAGCATTACAAATGAAATTGAAATTAAGGCAAGCTCAAATTAAGACAAACCATTTTATGCATTTTGACACATTGGCTAAATATAGTCCTGTGAATGACAAAAAATATGCAGCCTTATTATTTGATTTGATACAAGAATTTGATAATAAATTTCTGGGAAAATAAACTTTGTTGCATTTGCAATTCCATTTTTAGTCACTATAAATATGCTACCTGCTATTTTCACCTGGAATCCCCAGAGCTGCAGTCTGGCATCCAGTGTTGCTGTGTAAGATGTGGGGTGGGCTCAGTCTCTGGCAATTTCAAGCTAAGTATCCTTGGACAATGCTTCTTAATTATCAAATTAAGGCTTTAGGTTATAAAATCTCATGCATAAATAGGAACACTACCAAGTAGTGACTCTAAAAAGAGGTTATCCATCCCAGAATGTATGTGATCACTGATTTTGATTAGAATCTTTAACATGAAGGGATTTTGAGATTTTCTTTTCTCAGTTACAAAACATGGTGGACTTGGTCATTTGAAAACATTCTTCTCCACAAAACTCCTAAAAAGAATATTTAGAATTTTTTCTTTTCACACAAAAATCCATTTAAAGGAATTCTAAGGTAAGTGGTGATATATATCTATTTGTATCTCATACCCCAAAGGGGGTTGTATTGACTATGAATTATTCAGAAAATTCTTCCTAAGAAAATAACGGTAAGCCAGTTTAAGTGATTGGATCTGACTAAGGAAGAAAGGGTGGGCTGAGGCTGGAGAGATCCTTCCATAATACGTGTGACCCCACGATGTACGTGAAAGACAGATATATACTTCTTACTGGAAATTGGAGAGTTATGAAGAGGGGAATTGGTTCTGAGGTGGAGGCAATCTATTACCTACCATTTAATTGCAGAGAGAAAATAAGTATTAATTGCATCAGTAGTTGGAACTGTAGTTAAGTTTTTGGTTGATGCATTGTTATGAAGTGACACTGTTGATTCTCTTTCATGACCCAACCACCCTCTCTCCTTTCCTCTTTCCCAATCCCATTCTCCTCCCTTCTTCCCTCCCTATGTCTTACCCCTCCGTCCTTCCCTCCCTTTCTGCTTTCTCCCTCTGTCTACCCTGCTCCGCTTGGTTTCTTCCTCTGACTTTCCTTCTCTAAACGCGCAGTGGCCTAAGCGTCAGGCCCGCGCTGGCCTTTCCTGGCCGCGGCAGGAGCAGCGCGCTCTGGGCGGCGCCCCCATCCTCACCAGCTCACCTCGCTTCCTTCAGGGACACCCACCACGCTGTGTGAGACCATGGGCAAGGCGGAGATGTGGCTGATCCGGACGTACTGGGACTTCGAGTTTCCTCGCCCGTACCTGCCCAACTTCGAGTTTGTTGGCGGGCTGCACTGCAAACCCGCCAGACCCCTGCCCGAGGTGGGTCTGGGACCCGGCAAGACGCTGGGAGGCTTGCAGCCTTCGGGGCAGATGAACGCGGCTGGAAATCTGCAGTTTGCCCCTCCACACCTATTTTCATAATCATTGGAGTTTACCATGAGTAATATTTGCTCTTTTGGAATTTAAATTGAGAATTTAAGCTGAAAAATGAAAAGATTCAAGTGGAGTGTCACAAATACCAGTGTGTCTGTAGTGTGGACACTGGACAGGAGGACGGAAGACCTTCTCTGTCAGAGAACAACTGCTGGAAAACCGTCCTTGAGTTTACAGTGATGAGTCTCATTTTAACCTGTTTCCTTTAAGAAGCCAAAAGAATTTTTAGATGGTTTCTAGAAATCATTTCAGTAGTACAAGGTCTCAATCTTAGCAGAGAGCATTAGGAATAAGTTCGAGTCACCAGCATAAAGTGGAATCATGAAACTGAGAGACTCAAATATTTTACTGCTTCCAGTTTAAGAGCATAATGCCAAGTTTTTCTTTTTGAGTTAAAAATATTGTATATGAGGTCTGACAATTAAGATCATGAACTCATCCTAGAAAAGGTGCTTTGAAAGGTGGACTGGGCCCTGGCATCAGTGTACAGCTCCCCAAGGTGAGTACTTGGAAGGTGCCTATAGTGATATTTATTCAGCATTGAGGCATGTAGCATTTTCTCTAGGATGAGTGTGGAACTATAATTGTCAAACCTATATACCACATACCAAAGTCTTTAGAGAATAAATGGAATAAGTGGAATGCCAGAAGTTTTAGACAGAAAAGTATTGAAAGCAAAAGAGAATAATCAATAAACATAGTAAACATTGTAAATAAACATAGTAAAAAGCATTGCATTTAACCATTCATGAGGAGACAATTATTTATTTTATTTACAGGCAACAATAATGTCTCTAGAAAGTTGCAGGTTAAATAGTGTTCTCAGGAGAGTGCTTTTTTTTTCTTCAAAATATTAAGAGGATATGAATGTTTTAGGTTACATGGATCAATTTTGTAATGCTTGCGTCCTGACAGCAGGTGGGCCCATCACACAAATAGTGCTCTCTGTGCCTGTTAGGTAGGTTTTTGCTCTTTCCATCCACCCCTTTTTCTCGCTGGTTGATTTCCACTGAGTTTTACTTCCCTCTGTGAATCTTGATTTCTGTTTAGGGGAAAAGGCACATGTCAGTTTAAAATTTTATTTTAGGGTTCTTAGTATGCTTGTCTTGCCATCAAATTATTACTGCAAGCAAACTCTATAGAGTTGTCTTCAGAGGAGAAAATTTACTAATATCTAAATAAAAATACATAGAAATGACATATCCATGAAATCTATGGCCCAATATGATTATCCCAGCCATACTGTTACATTTATATTCCCACACCAACTTCTCTCTCTCTCACACACACACACATACACACACACAATTGCAAAAAAAAAAACAACTCGGTCATATTTTATAAGAGGGAGAAGTTATTTCATTCCAAACTCAAGTTATCTATTGTTACAGACTTTGGGAAATCTTAATACTATTCTTGAATTATATTTATAATGAAAGAATTATGCCAGTCATTGGATATAAAGAGTGAAAACAATAAGAGACAGTCAAATCAAAACTCTAAATCAGCATGGTAGGTGTGTATGTCTGGAGTGTGCGTTATCATATTCCATCAGTATCTGATTGGAAGGTGAGTCGGAATGATTAAACACCAATTCCCGGGACTTTAGAGATGTTCTCTTCACATTAACTCAGCTAAAAATAGCAGCAACTTTCACTTAAGATACCATCCTCCTCTGATAATTTCACTAGTCATAAACTGAGAAATGCAGTGATTCCAGGGTGGTCACAAACAGTATCCAGGGAGGCAGAGTGCACCTCTACAAAGCAGTGTAGATTGTCATGTGAAAGGCCCCAGCCCCAGACTTTGCAGTGCTCTAAACTCTAAGTGATGACCCAGGGGCTTTGATTTGCAGAGGAATTCATGTTGTTCTCATCCCCAAAGACTGACATTAAGGGCATGTGGCTACTATCACACACATATGGAGTTTATACATCAGGAAGGCAGAGAAGCACATAAATGTCATTATGATTATAGTTGAAGATTGTGTTATTTTCTTCTATCATACAATATGTTACTATTTTTATATAGACATACATATATATATACGCACACACACATATTTATCACATTTCTAAAAAGTTTTCTCTTAACACTACTAATTGCAGAAGGCATAAACTGGAGAAAATGACCTGTAATGCTTATCTAACAGGAATAGACAAATCAATTTATTAATACAGTATTGGCTATAAGTGGCATGCTAATGATTTTAAGAGCCTGGCTCAGTCCTTTCTTGGGCTTCTTTTAAAAATGTTTTTATGAATTTGTAAACAACTCTGTCAGTTATGAAATCAGGCCGTGGTAGTAGCAGTTCTGCGAGGAGAAGTACTGTACATTTTGGGTATTCATTTCAATAGGGGTTTTGGTTCCATGCTGTATTTGCAATTACTGATTATATATTTAAGCCATGAATTTCAGAAATGTGTTGAGACTAGATGGTTCTCCATGTCAGAAGACAGCCTAGTCTAACAATTTCTCTGCTGTTCTCTTAACTTTACCTATCTAAAAGCATAAGATTTCCCCCTGTGATGCTGTGCTGATAGTTGTGTATTATATGTGCAGGAAATGGAAGAATTTGTCCAGAGCTCAGGAGAAGATGGTGTTGTCGTGTTTTCTCTGGGATCAATGGTCAAAAACCTCACAGAAGAAAAGGCCAATCTCATTGCCTCCGCCCTTGCCCAGATTCCACAGAAGGTCGGTGCAGCCTGTCCCCTGGTGGGCAGCGTCTTACTGGGGGAAGGGGCAGCATGGCTCACCGTGCTCTTTCCATTTGAAAGGTGAAACTCAGTATACCCTGAGTACCACTGGCACCAGCTTTAAAAAAATCTGTGAAACATTAGAATAGTGTGTATAAGCACATTAAGTCCTTTGCTGATGGAAACTTGGGAACACTATGAACACACGTGCTTTTGTGGTCATTTAATTATATCAGGATGGAGATGAAGACTTCAGCCCCTACTCACCTTACACTGTTTGAATCTTTTGCTGTGCACTGACTCTTCCCAAAAGTTCTGAAATACGCTGACTACATGGTCTTGAAAAAGAGAGACGTTATACACAGAGTACAGATAAATTATGTGTAAAAATACCTCACACAAGTAGGTTGTATTAGTATCCTCTCAGAGACCAGCCTGAGCAAAAGCAAGACCCCACCTCTAATAATAGTGGGGGTTGTGGCAGGCGCCTATAGTCCCAGCTACTTGGGAGGTTGAGGGAAGAGACTCACTTGAGTCCAAGGCTTTGAGGTTGCTGTGAGCTCTGACGCCACGGCACTCTACCCAGGGCCACAAAGTGAGACTCTGTCTCAGAAAAAAAAAAAAAGACTCTCTCAGAGTATAGTTGGTTTAGAAGTAGATGGCTAGGTTCATTTAGTCTTTCCAAATTGAATATTCTTCAGATAAAAGCAATTAAAATTCTGATAATATGGATTTTTTAGTTTATGAAATTCAGTATTTGATTATCTTTACTTTCATCACTATAATTCCATGTTTTAATATCCTACTTCTACTCTTATATTTTCCTATTCGTGAATTATCTGAAGACCCCCTACATGTTGGTTAAAGTTCATAAATCTTACAATGATTTTTTACACCTACATTCTGATTGATTAAAGTGGTATTGTTTATTTTTTTCTCCTTCACTTATAACCTCATTTCTAAAAGCTTTTAAGTGATAAACACCAAAATAACAACACTCTAGATAATAGATTATTAGTATGAGCCATTGCAGGAAGGCTGATGGGGTCAGGCCTCCCGTGTGTGTCAGTGCCTGCAGAAGCCATGGACGGGCCTCTCACCTGGCACCTGAGTGGCTGGGTGGTGTCTCCCCAATGCTGTGGCCTTAAAATGTCCACACTGTGTGCCTATGGAAGCACATGTTTTTTGTAGTTATTTATTTTACCTGAAAAATTAAAGCAGCATCTTCCACAGGTTTTATGGAGATACAAAGGAAAGAAACCAGATGCGCTAGGGAACAACACTCGGCTCTACGACTGGATACCCCAGAATGACCTTCTAGGTAAGACCCAAGGGAAGATGAGCTGTGCACTGGCCCAGGAGGCGAGTTAAGCTTCTGTTTAACAGCAAATAAATTCAACACTTTTTAAATAATCTAAATATATAATAATATAATATATAATATAATGTATATAATATATAATAATATAATAATCTAAAATATTCACATTTGAGACGCTGTTTTAAAGCAGATATAATTAAATAATTATCCATCAGTTATATAGTTTTATGCTGTCACTGGTATATAACAGAGCATCTTCATGAAGACCACACCACTCTTCAAGTTTTAGTCTCAGCCCAGATGTCACCTCCTCATTCCCCCAAAGCACATGGTGCTTATTCCCAATTTCCCTGGGATCATAGTTTTCTGAGATGGCAATGTCCCATGTGCTCAGCTTGTGTAGAAAATGTTTCCATCTGTAGTGATTATGCCATAGTTTCTCCCCTCTGTCTCTGAAATTCTGCTAATGTCTGATAACTAAATCTACACTTATTATTCTATCCCCAAACTAGGTCATCCCAAAACCAAAGCTTTTATCACTCATGGTGGAACTAATGGGATCTATGAAGCTATTTATCACGGGGTCCCCATGGTGGGGGTTCCCATGTTTGCCGATCAGCCTGATAACATTGCTCACATGAAGGCCAAAGGCGCAGCGGTGGAGGTGAACTTGAACACAATGACCAGTGCAGATTTGCTCAGGGCCTTGAGAACAGTCATTAATGACCCTTCATAAGTACTACCATTGCTTTTAAAGGCTTACCTAACACTGAGTATGTTATCCATCATACTGGAAAATGTCCAGTGTTTTATAACTTTGTAAATGGTTTATTTTCAAATAACAGTTACAACATGTCCAATATAAAAATCATTTATTTCATTTGCCAAACTGCTGAAGTGATTTGCTAAAATTGTAAAAACAACCTAAGGCTTCAAATCTTCTTACCATATTTTGTAAAATAAATAATGGTATAATTGCATAAATTCTTAGATTTTGTGCATAATCTTTTTAATATTATGAATAAATAAGTGAATAAAAATGAATGTATATTTAAATGTTATAAACCATTCAGTTAGTACTAAATGGAAGTGAAAGTGTGCCCAGTATCAATAATTCAAAAGTAACTGTCACCAGTCCTGAGAACAGATTGCTCGTGAGTCTGTGTGCACAGAGAGGAGGGGCCTCAATACAGTCGATGCTGTGTGAATTTTTAAATAAAATTTTAAAATTCTGGTTGAAAGACAGTTTGAAATAAAAGTATGAACTACATTGAACTTCAGATCTAAGCCACATGCCCTAATTTTTTCTCTGAAAGACCTCATGAAGGAGAGAGCATTAACACAGGAGATGTACATGCAATTTTGAGTCTTTGTTTTTAACAAATGCATTTTAATTTTAGCTACTTAAAGTTGAACTCCTGCTTTGAAGTCATCTCAATTTGTATTATTTGTAGTGTTGATTTAACTTATCAATAATAATGCCATTTATTTTCCTCCTATTTATTTAGCCTTTTTGCTATATTTTAAGTGCATTGATGTTCATTATTAAATCAGGCATTATTTATTACAAAATATTTTGTAATATTTCTTGACAAACTGTTGAATTTTTTTTTCAGTAAAAACTCTTGGATGTTGAATTTGCTAAGAGTGTGTTTAGAAATAGTTGTTTATCGTATTGATATGAGAATGACTTTTATCTGAATATAATATACTCAGGTCTCACTTTTTTCTTTCAGCCCTATGCAAATAGTACTCCTTTAAATGGTACTGCAGGATTTCTGAGTCCTGCCTTGTTGTGGTAGTTAATCTAGGATAAAAGTTTCTCTTTTGTTTCAGAAAGTAACTTCTGGCTTATTATTAGACTGCCTTCTCCCATTTTTGATTTCTTCTTTAAAATGTCAGTTTCAGTACCCCCTGTGTTAATATTTTTTGTATTCTGGTTTGTTCTTATTTGTGTGACAGTATAGTTGTTCTAAGCTGTTTTCACTATTAATTCGTTGAGATTACGTCAGCAAAGCCACCAACTCATACATTCACTTTCTGATGTGAGCATTGCTTGCTGATTCTGATTTCTTTACCATTTGTTTAAATTGGTATTTTTAACAGTTCATATCCTCTTCCTGTCACCTCCTGCTGCTTTATAATTTTCTTTTCAGCATCATATTTATTATGCTTTCATTCTCATTAGACACATTCCAGTAATCCTAGCTTTGGACTATATGTCACGCCTGATTGCATTCTTAGTCTTTCATTGCTATTTATTTTTCAACGTGTGTAAGTGACTACCAGACCAGAGTTTTGATCTTGCTCTCTCACTATCTTCTCTGAACTTGTGTAGGGGTCATAAATTTGTTTTCATAGAATTTTAGACTCTGTCATAATATAGACCCAAAGCTTGAAAGGTAGACATAACATCCTACTCATGATGGAATATTCTGCAACTTTTTTTTTTCTTAATGGAACTAGCCTGCTTAAAGCCAGCTGCTCAAAATCCTTGCACCAGAGAAAGACCCGTATGTCTGTTTCTAAAAGAGACTCGTTCAACAGTTGGCTTGTGTTCATACTAGAGAGTCAGCCAAAATTGTCCACTTTTGCTTCCTATCCATAGTCTAATCAACTGACTTTTATTATTACATTCACTTTAGGTCATAATTTTCAGAATGTTATAGAAATCACACATCAGGAGTGAGTAGAGGGTCAGAAGCGTCAGCAAGGCTCCATACTATGTTTTGCTTTGGTAAATGTTGACTTCAATGTCTAGTCAGTTAGACTATTCCCAGATCATGAGTTACTAATAACTTATTTAATTTAGTTAAATATCATAGTAAGTCCTGTGATTCTTTTAACTCTAATGCATATAATGTTTATTAAATTTTCTTATGATTTGAAAACTATTGGCATGAAAAGACAAAATCATAAGTACCCTTAGAAATTTATAAGTAAATACCTAAAATTACTTAATTGAAAACACCTTCATATTAATGCTAAACCCAGTACTACCTCCGAAATTATCCAGGAACATTAGGTAGAGTGTATAATATCCAAGGATGACAATGACATTTGAGAACCCATCCTGGAGAAAGGGCTGCACAGCTTGTTGCTCAGTATCCCTGCAGTCACCGTCGCAGCACTCCCTGAGGGAGCTGAGCACCACACCAGCAAAACGCTTTTTCTAGAATGAGTTCTCAAATTAACCGTAATGTCTTTCGTGTGATGAAAAGTGCCTATGGCCATTTCAGAAAAAGAGTCCTTAAGTTGCTTTCACGAGTGGACTCGGCACTGGCGTCAGGACGTAGCTACTCAAGGGCACCACTTTGAAGGTGGTCATGGTGGTATTCAGCAATGAGGTGTGTACACTTTTTCTAGACGGGTTCATGAACTTAATTACCAGACCTCCTATGATGACAACTTGATGGCCATTCTTGAAAAAGAGTTCCAAACTGTGTTTAAGAATGGAGTAGGTTTTGGCATCAGTGCATAGCTTCCCAAGGGGAGTACTTCAAAGGTGACCATAGAGATATTCATCAGTGAGGTACATAGCACTTCTTCTACGATGAGTTTACAGA